ATAAAGCTCTTGCTGTTTGCAGATGATTTGGTTCTGCTGTCTCCAACAGAAGAGGGTCTAACCTAGACATTAGACATCCTGCACAAGTTCTGTCAGACCTGGGCCCTTACTATCAATCCTAACAAAACTAAAGTACTAACATTTCAGAAAAGACCCAGAGTTCAGAGAAAGAGACATAACTTCACCCTTGGTGTGACCAAAATTGAAAATGCCACAAACTACACATACCTCGGGCTGAAGATAAATGCAACTGGCAAGCTAAATTTGGCTGTGAATGAACTGAAAGAGAAAGCAAGAAGGACCTTTTATGCCATCAAAAAATCTATCCAAATTGAATTACCAATTAGAATCTGTCTCAAAATATTCCAATCAGTCATAGAGCCTATTGCATTATATGGCAGTGAAGTGTGGGGTCCTCTCCTAAATCACAAATTCGAAAAATGGGACAAAAATCCAATTGAAGCCCTGCATGCTGAGTTCTGTAAGAGTATCCTCAGAGTACAGAGGAGCACACCAAACAACTCATGCAGGGCAGAATTAGGCCAATACCTTCTACTAATGCACATTGAGGAAAGAGCCATCAAATTTTGGAAACACCTAAAAATGAGTGACCCCAACTCTTACCATTTTAAAGCCCTTAAAAACCATGACGTGAACCCTGAAAAAGTCCCCTGATTTAGATGGCCCTGAAGCTGCATAAACAAACTAACATGACTAACAACAGCCAGCATCAGGACTCTGAAATACTCATCCACAAAATTCGACCCAACCAAATTATAAAAGCACAAAAATAAAATTATCTAACTTATTGGAGTAGTAAACTTGAATGTTATTTGGCCCTAAATAGAGATTACACAACTGCAGAATATCTGAGTACAGTGAAAGACTGTAAATTAAGAAGACAAATGACGAGGTACAGACTGAGCAATCATACTCAGACTATAGAGACGGGCAGATATCGACAGCACTGGCTGCCCAAAGAGAGCCGCATCTGCCCTTACTGTAATCACAGAGCAACACTTCCTCACCAGCTGCCCTAACTATCTACACATTAGAAACACATTTTATCCTAAATTTGAAATACTTTACCCTGACTTCAAAATTTTAAACAAGAAAACACAACTTCAGTATTTATTAGGGGAAAAAAGAGATTGTACCTTACTAGCAGCAAGATACTGTGCATATTGATATTCACAAATTCCTCTGAATCAGAACAGAAAATGGAATTGGATTTGAAAGAAATGAGAAATAACTCGGCAGAATATCTGATGTCTCAGAATATCTGAGGAAAGATGAAGTATTTCACTAAACCCTGTGTCTTATTTATTAACCACTCGCAGGCCAGTTTAACCAGCTGTCATCTGGTCTCATGCGATGGCGCCGCAGACGGCAGCCTCAGTGTTTGGCTCTCCAGTGTTTGTACTGTTTTTGTTAGTTTTTCCTGTTTTTTGTTTCTCAAACATGATCAGTTTTACCAGGGATGAGCTGCTGAACATTCGGCAGAACACGCCACACAATCTTCTACCGGATTTCGTTTATTCGGACGTTTTGCTGAACGTTGTAGTTGGCGAAGCTGCTGCGCTGATCACGCGCTTC